TGTGCAGCTTTAGCCTTTTCATTTATTCTGCCATTTTCTAGAAGTGCAGTTTATGCCTAAACAGCGAAGCTGACGGAGGAGCCTTCCAGCTTCCCAGGCTCTGAGAGAAACAAGCTGAGGTGCAGAACTGAACCGGTCAGGCCTGGGCCGCGGCATCTGTGCCCACCCAGGGCTGTCTGCGGAAGCCCCCCAGGCTGGCCCAGAGCATCGGCTCCCAGAGGACCCGTGAACACCAGGGGCCCCTTCTAGCGCAGCTGCTCCCCAAGCTCCCGTTCGACAGGACGGCTTCTAGACTGGCCTACAAGCCCATGCCTTGGGCCTGAGGTGGAAGGAGTCCAGGCCACACGCAGCCACTTGGGAGGCCTCTGCGTGGGCACGAGGGTGCTTTGTCGTGGCCTCGGCCAGGCCCGGCTTATCCTGGGGCAAAGGGGCATTTCACTCAGCTCTGACTCCAGGAGTCTGGGTGGCGTGACGGACACCCCTTTGGGGCTAGTCTGCAAGGCTGGAGCTGGTGACAGAACAGCCTGCAGCCTGTCCTCTGGGCAGGTGCTGCCAAAGCCGCACTGCCCGACAGCTGCCGCCTCTAAGGGGACATCGCAGGTCAGGCGCTGAAAGGGTCTGGAGGAACACTCCAGGCCCCCAATCTGGACGAGGCCTGGGGACAGCTGGGGATGCTGTCCTGACATTAGTTGGAGTGTTTACCAAGACAGAACTCCCCGTGAAAAGGGGCAACCCTACAGCAGTTACCCATAGACTTCAAAGAAGTCAAAGACACAATCAATACAGCTACAGGAGATAGAAAACACTATGGCTTTAAGGTTGTTAAGCATCTTCATGGAATGTTTTCTTTTTTCCTTCGGGCTTATTTCACTGAGCATAATTCCTTCTAGCTCCATCCACACGGCTGCGAATGGCATGAGTTTATCTTTTTTGATTTTTTGATTGCTGAGTAATATTCCATCATGTATATAGACCACGTCTTCCTGACCTAGTCATCCATTTTGGGACATTTGGGTTGTTTCCAGGTTTTCCCTATTGTAAATAGTGCTGCAATAAACATAGGGGTGCAGGTGCTCTTTTGAATGAATGTTTTTGTGTCCTTTGGGTAGATCCCTAGGAGTGGAATTGCCAATCATATGGTGGCTCCATGTTTAGTAGACTGAGGAAGCTCCACACAGCTTTCCACAGTGGCTGGACCAGTTTGCACTCCCACCAGCAGGGCAGGAGAGTTCCTTTTTCAGCACATCCTCATCACCATTTGTTGTTGCTTGTTTTTTGATATGTGCCATTCTCACTGGTGTAAGGTGGTATCTCATGGTAGTTTTGATTTGCATTTCCCTGATGATAAGGATGTTGAACATTTTTTTCATATGCCTGTTGGCCATTTGCATTTCCTTATGCTCAGTGAAATAAGCCAGAAGGAAAAAGAAAAATGTCGGATGGTCTCACTTATAGCAGGAACATAGGGGAACCAAATAAGACATTAGTGTAAAAAAATAATAACAGTACAAAACACAACAAAGCAAAAACTGACAATTATAAACCAGAGACATCCTGCAGGGGAGGAGGCGGGAGAGGGATCAGAGGGAGGGAGGGAGGCGCACAGGGGACTGAGGTGATGGTGCACGGGTGCCTTGGGGAAGGAAACTCTATGGGGACTACACCTGACGGGGTAGGAGGAAGCAAATATTGTTTAAAAATGAACAATGGTGTAAAAAATAAAAAAAAAATTAATAAAGCAAGTAATCTTCATGGAATGAAGAACTGGGGCTTTTTCGAACCACAAGGTCCTAACACCCCCATCTTGGATCACTTAAGAGTAGAGATTTTATTATGCAAATTAGGCCCCAGGCTAATTACTGAAATAGGTCACTTGAAAAAGTCAATTCCAGACATTAAGAAAGCCCATATATATCATTCTGCCACATGTCAAAACAAATAATCATCTAGGGGAAGAATTAATGAGGATGCGTATCATTTTGCCATGTCATCTCCCAAGGGAGTTTAATGGAGCCTCCATGGGTTATGAAGAGCATTCCTAATGAAGCATTAATACTTCTCAAATGCAAGTGTGGTGAGCATATGGGAAATCCAGTGGCATTTACACATCAAAGCAAGTGTTTTCAAAGAATCTATGGCAGCCCTTGTTCATTTCAAGAGGAGAATGCCTCCCCCCTGGTCCCCCCAGAAATCCCCAGTGGAGGGGGTGTCAGCCACAGCATGGTCTGGAACCCCAGACCTCCACCTTTGGCCAGAACAGCAAAAGCGCCTCCTAAGGAAGGAGATGAGTTCAAGGGCATTGAGTGGGTGCTTGTGGAGCTGTGGCCTCAGAACTAGAATGAGGGTCCCCAGGCGGCTCAAGCCCTTGGGACCCTGCCTATCTGGGGGTCGCCCCGCACAGGTTCAGCCATAGGGTATGTGGCCACTGCCCCGGGGAGCCAGGCGGCCTCCAAGCTGCCCATCTCCTCCCATCCCTGTGGATCCCCTGGTGCCCGTGGAGCCCTCCCGTCTTGGTGGTGCTCACTAAGGTGTGGGGTCAACACACGTAGAGTGTATCGCAGCCACTCGAACGGCGTTATCAGTCACCGTCCCAAGGCGGGTGGATGGTTCCAAGTGCTAAAATAGGTGTGTAAACCTGAGTCCCTCCGCCATGCCAGGTGGGGTGTGACTGCGTGTGCACGTGGGGCAGGGCTGGGGGAGCCTGCGCCGTGTGCAAAGTAAGGACTAAAAAGTTCTTGTTCGGGCACCTTGGGGTTCTTGCCGAAGCCAAGCAAAGTCAATATTCACCTTCTAAACTATTTTAAAACGTGTTCATCTTTCATTTCCTTTCGGGGGCAACCTGCACCTCAGTGAGCTCTGCTGTAGGGAGGGGGAGAAATCAGCTTCTGCCTCTTCCCAACTCTGGAGTGTCTTCCAGGGCCTGTGAGGTGGTGCAAAGCTTTCAGCCCGGCTGCCAGGCTCGTGGCCTGGCCACAAATGCCTCTCCCTATGGAGGTCTCCCAGCCCCCCGATGGCCCTCGCCGGCCATGTCCCAGCGGTCCCTGCCTCCGCCTGGAAGCCCTCCACGCTGTCTCTCACTTCCAATGCAGCGAACGAGCAAAGGAAGGCCGGCCTGGCCGGCTACCTGCTAACAGGCCTGCTGCCGAATCGAACACGCGCTCATCTTACAGAAAGAAAAAAAAAAACAAGAGGCTATTGTTGTGTAGATTGCTATCACAGCTATGAATTAAATGGTGCTTCTAAGTACAAATGATAAAAAGTAGTTATCAAATGCTTACTGTGTTAAACAAAGTGATGGGGACACATCCTTGATTTATTTGCTCTCCTGCAAAAGATGAAAGGCTGGCGCACCTGGCCAGGCCCCGCACGCAGAGGGAGCTGAGGAGTTAAGAGCATCCTCATGAAGCCAGAAGCCAAAGCGAGGTGAGAGAATCCTAGTATCTCCGAGGCAGAGCCCAGGGTGCTCAGGGAGCACCCACAGTTCCAGAGGTACCGCTTGTCCCTGGGGGAACCCTGCAGCCCCACCACTTTCTCCCCCTCTAGTCAGGGCATGAAGCTTTTTAACAATCCGTCTGAGGTCAGGTCCGCTCAGGCACGCCCTGGCGGCCATCGACGCCTTGGTCAGCCCATCTGACTTAACCAGTTATTTTTCACATGCAATTAAGCCTCCAGAAGCTTGAGGTTTCCCTTTATTTTACCTAATAACTACTTTATACTCTCAAAGATTTCTCTTTTATTTAGCACACTCTCCCACCCTATCTGCTTGTTTCATCCCTCAAAGAGCTTTTATTTTCATGTTATGATAATTATTCTTTTAAATCTATAATTTACCACTTTCCTTCTGACTGTTACTCACTTACTTGGCTAACCACTCTGGGTGTCATGTTGGCTTAAAAATAGCCTATCAGTCTCTGCGGCAGTTCAGGTTTGCAGCAAAGGACAAGATAATTAGATGGCTAGGACCATCTATGTTTTAATTACTAACGTAGTAAAACAAAAAAAGTCCTGTCTTTTTGAGCGCTAAGGAAGTATTTGGTCAATTAATGATTCTAAGCCCAGGGTGAGAAGCAAGAGCTCCCTCCAGACGGCCACACGGCACAGGCAGGGGCCTCTGGCCAGCTCAGGTCTGTGCGCAGGCAGCGGCCACTCCAACCCAGTCTGCAGCATTGTTTTAAACCAAAGAAACTGAAAGAAAAATATTCCATTTGCCCAAATAATGTGCAGGGCAGTCCCAGGGCCCAACCGGCATCTGCTAAAACCCAAGACCTGGGCCACCTGGTCTTGTGCTGTCACGTGATCTGCACTTAGTCACGGGCAGCATCTGACTTCTCAGCCTCAGAGGGAAGGACAGCTCAGTTAGACCCAAGCACTTGTGCTCTCTGCTCCTGAAATGATGTGTCCAGTATCATACAGATGGGGTGGCGGGGGAGTAATGCATTAAGCAAACCCGACTTTTATTCTCCTAACTCTGGCTTTAAGGTGCCTGTGGATGAGAGTGGTTTGCCTGAAACCCACATCCTTCAGACCTGTGCGCTCCACCTTGTCTGGACTGATGCTTTCCTGGGGTAAGGGCAGCCACTGCTGATTTCTGGCACTTACACACAGTTTCTGGCACGGAGTAAATGCAAGATGGATGCATGGATGCATGGATGATGGATGGATGGATGATGGAGAAACAAGTCATTGCAAAAGATTCACCTATCAAAATCTCACCCATAGTCCTTATAAATTGTTCTCCGTAGAGGTGCTGAGTATATTTATAGATACCCACTGATTCCAATACTATGGAAACTCTAGGAGGTTTCTTCTCTTTGGGTATAGAGATTAATGATTAGTACAGGGACCCTCATTCCATTTTCTTTAAATAAAATGGACAATTTCCAGCAAAGAGTCTCACCAAATTATTTGCCACAATAATAATTTTAAGGAAACAAAAGTCAATACAAACCTATTCAGCTTATCCTAATTTCTATAAAATAAGTGAATAGAATTATACTTACATATAATGTAATAATCTCTGTTCTTCTGAAATTCTAGACCCCAGAGGTTAGGGCTGAATTCTTGAAACTTGATAGTGAATTTTACGTCTTGGTCTGGTCTGGCACAGTTGAGGAGAGGGGTGTTTTCCTTCTTAATAGTGCATCTGTCTGCTTGGTCCTTATCAACCATATAAACTTTATAATATTCATACTGGCCAACAGTTTTAGAGTCCACTTTGGGGCAAATAATATCCAATTTGTCTCCTATCTGTGGGTATAGTACCACTCCTTGTCCAGGTAGAAATCTAAAAGCATAAAAAAAAAAGCCATTGAGTTGATGAAAATGAACAGTATCTGTGATCGTACAATACACCCAGACAACATCATTCGCGCCAAAGCAGCATTTCACAGACCCCGTCGATTCCCACGAGCATGTCTGTTCAGCTCATCTAGGGACCCCACTTTAAAGCAAAAGAACAAGAAAGGAGTCATTCTCCCTCGGGAGGACGGTGGCTCACCCTCTGACATTCCTCCCATACTCCTGCTCGCAGAGTTCAGTGGGCCTTTGTGTGATGCCACAATAACTTTCCTCCAGGGTGACTCAGACCTTCCCACCTGTTTGTTATTTTCTAAGCACTGGCAGCCTGGCTCGCTGGGCAGGCCGCAGAAAGGTGCCTCGCCCGGAGAACAGCGGAGGCTCTGACACGCCGCTGTCCTCTTAGTCTCCGTTCGCTGTTGATGTTAATTAACAGACAAGTCTCATCAAGAATGTTTCAAATTACTTATCATAATTAGTCAGTCACTGATCAAACAATGGGTTTTTTATTACACCGAACAAAAGAAATGTCTTACAAACCCATAAAAGATAACCAGAAATAATTAGTCGTGGTATTATTGATTCAGCTGCGAGATGAAGCGTCCTCGGCTGGCGAGATCTTTCTCCCTCCCTGGAGATGTATTTGCTCCAATTAATTCTCAGAAGCAAATCTTTAGAACTAAGACGACGGATACAATATCCCCTTAATGCTCACAGCTAAAAGCTTCCCTCCTCCTGCTCCTCTTTCTTGCTAGCCAGGCTGCTGAAAGATCTTTCCTAATGGGGAGTTTCTCTGAGAAACTGAAACAAGAGCTTCCTAATGAACGCCCTTCCAGGGGCCAACCCTCCCACCACGGAGCAATCCCAGCTCCTTCCTCAGGGAGCAGCCAAGCCTGCCGGCTCATTAAAATATTAAAGGCCGAGAACAAAGCTCGGAGACTGAGCCCTTCCTACCCAGCCCGGGGTAGCCAGGGAGCCACCAGCCAAGAGTGGGGATGAAGGCCCAGCATTCACGCGGCGGGGAAGCCCGATGGTGGGGTCTCCCCAGCTTCAAACCACACAGGGGGCGGGTTCTGATTTGCACAAATGAGCGGTGCTCTCAGAGTGCGTGAGGCTGCGACGAAGCCTCCCAGAACACACCAGAGTGCATGATGGGTTCTTTCTGACAACTGAGACCCGAGGGCGGGAAAAGCACCTGCTCACGCGGGGCCCAGCCGGTGCCTTGGCGACGTGCTATTGGGCGGCCCAGTGGCTGGTGCGTCCCTCCCAAGATGGTGGCTGCCTTTGTTATTTTTTTTTGCAGTTGTTGTTTTCTTTGAAACTGAGCTGTTTGAGCGGGGACATAGGGTATTCATTCACAAAGGAAACAAGAGTCATCCACCATAAAATCTTACAGTGAAGCAAGAAGGCTGAAGGAAACTTTTGTAACAATGACAAATTCCCACACAATGCTGTGTGCGCGCTGGGAGAATTCTCTGGAAGAATACATGGGCCAATGTAGCTCCCTTAGCAAGAGACCCCTGGGACCTGCATGGCTCTCCCACCATTCCTGGGGAGATGCTGGAAGGTTCAACTCCAGGGCGCAGAAGGCCCCAGCCCCAGGCCCCAGCTCCTGAGGCCCAGAGCCCCTCTCCAGCAGCCCACCTTCCTGCGCACGGCCCCACCGAAGTGCAGGCAAGGCGGGGCCTGAACCAGAATGGCTGTGGATGGGAAGCCACCTGTCTGTGGCTGAGGCTCTGAGTCTACGCTCTGCCCCCGCGTGCCTCTGTGGGGTGGCTCATGGGGAGGGGGCAGGTACCAGGGAGTTGGTGCAACTGAAATGCCAAGAGCACCAGAGCGCCCCCGTCCTGGCTCATTCCCCCCATCAAGGGTTGCTCCTTGACCTCCCCAGGACCTCTTCACTGCAGACCAGAAGCAAGGCCAGCTCCTGCCTGAGGATCCCAGCTTCCTCCAGACACGTCCCACCTTCACCTGCTCCCTGTGGCCAGCACGGGGCGACCCTGCGCGGCTCTGTTCTCAGACCCCACCTCCCTCCCAAGCCCTCTCCTTCCAGAGATGAGAGATGGTCCATCAGCATTCACCAGGTACCCCTTCCCGGGGCTGCCAGGCCTCCGAGACCAGGATCCCAGGCGCCAGGTGGGCGTGTTCTTGTCATTCCCTTCAGCTCCTGTGAGAACCAGCACAGGCCACCCCCTCCCCACTGCGCTCATGGAGCTGCTCTTCCCACTCGCTCGTCTCAAAATTGGCTCATTCCTCTCTTTCTTCATTTGAAATGTTCCCCCAGCATCCTGTTTCCTTCCTGAAGATTTTTCTCATGGGGATTTCCTCCAGGGCCATGTGAGCAGCTCCCCACTGCTCAGTCACCCCATCAGCCCATCGCTCCATCAGCCCATCGCCACAACCATGGAGTCACAGCCCATGCAGGTGCCAGGGGAGAGGTCAAGGACACACCCACACTTGGGCTCATGGCTATGAGGTTCTCCCATTCCAGGAGGCATGAGTTCCCTACAAAGCTGTGCCCTCAGCAGTCAGAGATGGGGGGCCGTAGGTGGGGAGGGCACCCCCAGGGAGGGTCTGTCAGAGGAAGGGGAAGGAAGATGCTCAGATCTCAGCAGCCCCGTTCCATAAGCTCATGAAAAGTCACCCCCGTAAAATCCCCCCGTTCCCAAGGGATCTGTGGCAAAGGGAAGGCTGGGGTCGGATCCTCGGCTGGAGGACGTCGCCGACTCAGAGTTCCCTAAGAAACGGTTGCGATCTTGATTGAGATCCATCAAGGTGTGCTTTTGAAAATATGTCTGTGAATAAGCCAAGAGCCCACCAGTCCCTTCACTACGAGCTTACGGGGGGCTGGCCTGGCGGAGCTGAGCGTCCCCACAAGTGGCGCCTACACGAGGCCTGGCAGTGGCCCTTCTCCCGGGATCCCAGTTTCTACAGGGAGTGGGAGCAACTGTTTCGGTGCCAGATTCTCAGTGGCAGACACAGAAGACCCTGGTCCTCAGAGATTTCACCCCAGCACCCAGGGGCAGCCCCCACCCTGTCTGCCCGAATGGCCCAGGGCTGACACCTGGAAGATGCTGCAGGAACGATGCATTAGCTGAAACACAGAACCACTGCACTCGGGACACACACAAGCAACATTTTAAGCCCAAAGAAGTGCCACCAGCTGTTTGCAGATGGCTGGGAGGGAGGGCTCCGGGGGCACGACCAGCTGGGGGTCCGGGGGGCGAGGGGGACAGGATCCTGAGTCAGGCCCTGTCTCTGAGGATGAGACGCAGGCAGATGGCCTGTGCTTTCCAGAAGACTCGGAGCCATGGGCCTCTTCTGCAGACGTGAAATGCCACCCGCCATCCCATACCTCCAGCAACAGCAGCGCTGCTGCCTCTGGGCACTCGACCTCACTAAGCGCCCCGGGGAGCAGCTCACATCATGTCAAGCTCCACTCCCCGCCCACCACCCCCACCTCCTCTCCCCGCCCACCACCCCCACAGTCGACCCAGAACCAATGCAGGGGACCCCCCGGGCTGGCCATCTGGACCCCCCCTCACCCAGCAAAGCCCAGGACCAAGCAGGGGATGACACTGACCAGCTCCGGGGAACTTGGGTCTCGAGGGCACTACCACGCGCGGACTCAGGGCAGCCTGAGAGAGCCCCGGAACGGGCGTGAGTCTCTCAGCCCCGCTTCTGGATGGAAAGCAGAGTGTCCGCTGGTCACAGGCGCCACGGCCGCAGTCCTGCCGGGAAGCAAGGCCATTCCTGTTCGGGTCTGCAGCTTCAAGACTGCTTGGGACCCAACAGGCAGCGACACGGCACACCCCTGCCCAGAATGTTCCAGCACATTTGATAATGCACTGACCTTCTGTTGATTTTGGAAGAGTTAAGAACAATATTTATGGTAGTGGCAACTGATTACTTTTAAATTGCTAAACTGGCTCTCCCCGGTGGATGGCGAATACAGATTTCTTTATGTGCGATGAGATAACATTCATCTGGGAGCCAAAGGCGCCCCCAGCGACAAGCCACGCCACACAGGTGAGGCTGTTTTGGTTCAGCTACACCCAAACACAAAGCAGTTTGGGGTGTCATTGAATAAAGTCTGCTGGGTTTTAATCCAAAACAAACAAACAGAGAAGGAGCTCGAGACCCCATAGCCTGCTCCCGGGAAGCGGAGACTCCAAGTCCCAGCTGCCACCTCGCGCCTTGCTGGGAGGGAAGCTCCTCCTCCTGGGGTGTCTCTGGAAGGACCCCAGCTATAGGAGGGGGCAGCACAGACAGCCCTCCCAGGGCTTCCCCAGCGAGTCACTCCCACTGCGATGACCTAGAGTCAAATATGGAGACAATAAAACGGAAACTCGAAGTGGGCTTTGCAGAGTCACCAGGCCCAAAGGCGCTCGTGTGGAATCAGTTCCCGTTTGGGTCCTCTGCTCCCCAATCCAACTTAATCCATGGTGTTAAAAGTGATTCCTTGAACGACTCGAATCCTTCTATGGGGAATCCTTTGGGCTCAATCTAATAATCTAAATTAGACATTAATATTTAGTAACCCAAATTAGATCTCTAAGAATCCAAATTAGACATTCCAACTTCATATTCGTCACCGGAGAAACTCTCTCAGCCGTGCGGCCACGAGGGAACACGATACTCTCTCATGTTCTAAGGTCTCAAAAATGAGCCAAGTGATGCAGCCGCCTCAGGGCTATGGGCCGTGACCCTCCGTCCCCTTTGATCACCAACATCATGTGCAAGTCGGGTTTCGGGTGGGGGGGGCCTGCCTGCACGCCCAGGTCTTTGGGTGCCTGGGTATCCGATGGATGCTGCGGTCACCAGATGGACCGTTGAGCCCACCCTGGAGGACAGGATCCTTGGGACGCTGAGCAGTGCAGCACCCCCTCCCCCAGGACCCAGCCCACCCCCACCTGCCTTCTGCCCACTCGCTCCTGCGCCTGCCCTCGCCCTAACACACGCCTCCGGACACACACCCAAGTCTCTTGC